ACTGCACTCGACTGCCAGAGCGATAATAAGATGTCTGAAAAGCTATATATGATAAACCCACAGCCAACATTATACTCAATGGGCAAAAACTAAAACCATTCCCTCTAAGAACAGGAATAAGACAGGGATGCCCACTATTGCCACTCCTCTTTGACATAGTACTGGAAGTACTAGCCATTGCAATTAGACAAGAGGAGGAAATAAAAGGCATCCAAATTGGGAAAGAAGAAGTAAAGTTATCCTTATTTGCAGATGACATGATATTGTATATAAAAAACCCAAAAGACTCCATTAAAAAACTAATTGGCTTAATAAATGAATTTTGCAATGTAGCAGGATACAAAATTAATGCCAAGAAATCCATGGCATTTCAATACACCAACAGTGAAACTACAGAAACAGAGACTAAGAAAGCAATTCCATTTACCACCGCACCAAAAAAATTAAGATACCTAGGAATAAATTTAACTAAGGAAGTAAAGGACCTATATGCGGAAAACTACACGACACTGAAAAAAGAGATAGAGGAAGATGTAAAGAGATGGAAGAACATATCATGTTCATGGATTGGTAGAATCAACATCATCAAAATGTCCATACTTCCTAAAGCAATCTATAGGTTCAATGCACTCCCCATTAAAATACCAAGGGCATATTTCACTGACCTAGAAAGAATTCTCCAAAAGTTCATTTGGAACAATAAAAGACCCCGAATAGCCACAGCAATCCTGAGAAAGAAGAGTAAAGTAGGAGGGATCTCAATACCAGACTTCAATCTATATTACAAAGCCACTGTTCTCAAAACAGCCTGATACTGGCACAAGAACAGACATATAGATCAATGGAATAGAATCGAGAACCCAGATATCAACCCAAATCACTATGCTCAATTAATATTTGACAAAGGAGGCACGAATATGCAATGGAGTCAAGACAGACTCTTCAATAAATGGTGTTGGGAAAATTGGACAGACACATGCAAAAGAATGAAACTAGATCACCAACTTACACCATTCACAAAAATAAACTCAAAATGGATCAAGGACTTAAACATCAGATGGGAAACCATAAAAATACTAGAAGCATCCACAGGCAGCAAAATCTCAGACGTATGCCAAAAGAACTTCTTCACTGATACTGCAAAAGAAACCATCAGCAAAACAACAAGAAAGCCCACGGTTTGGGAGAACATATTTGCAAATAATACCACTGATAAAGGCTTAATCTACAACATTTACAGATGGCTTTAACAACTAAATAAAAGAAAGATGAATGATCCAATTAAAAAATGGGCAATGGACCTAAATAGAATATTTTCAAAAGAAGACAGAAGGAAGGCCAAAAGGCACATGAAAACATGCTCTAAGTCACTAATTGTCTGAGAGATGCAAATCAAAACAACAATGTGATACCATCTCACACCTGTCAGAGTGGGCAACATCAACAAATCAACAAACGACAAATGTTGGCAAGGTTGCAGAGAAAAAGGAACCCTCGTGCACTGCTGGTGGGAATGCAGACTGGTGCAACCACTGTGGAGAACAGTGTGGAGTTTCCTCAAAAAACTGAAAATGGAACTCCCATTTGACCCAGTAATCCCACTTCTAGGAATATATCCCAAGAAACTAGAAACACGAATCAGAAAGGATATATGCACCCCTATGTTCATAGCAGCACAATCTACAATAGCCAGAATTTGGAAACAGCCTAGGTGCCCATCAGCAGATGATTGGCTCAAAAAACTATGGTACATCTACACAATGGAATACTATGCTGCCATAAAAAAGAAGGAATTCTCATCATTTGCAGCAACCTGGATGGAATTGGAGAACATCATGCTGAGTGAAATAAGCCAATCAGTGAAAGAGAAACACCACATGACCTCACTCATTTATGGATAATAAAGAACATTATAAACTGATGAACCAAAAGATAGATATAGAGACAGGAAAGCAACAAGCAGACTGTCAAATTATAGTGTAGAGGGGAGGAAGATCTGGGGGAGATAATAGATCAGCCAAAGGACTTGTATACATGCATATAAGTACACCAATGGACATAAAACTCTGGGGAGGGAGGGTATGTCTGGGAGGGAGGGAGGGGGGCAAAAAAAATCAATAAAATATATTAAAAAAATAAAATAAAATAAAATATAATAAAAATAAATAAAAATTAAAATAAAATGTATTTATTAATGTATTGTATATAAAATGAATAGATAATGTCATTATTTATTTTCCATTTGATGCTTTTAATAAATCCAGTTATAAGAATTTAAAACATTTCATTACTATATTTTTAATAGGTGAAAGACACAAAATATGTGAATAATATTTTATCCCTTTTTAATTATATACTTATATTTTAAAATGTTATTGTGTCAAAACAAAATAGTGGCCTAATTAACATTGTGTATTTATTATTTTTCCCCTTTCACACACTCTTGAAAAATATTTCAACTTAAAATGAATAAGAAACCTCAAAAATATAATACTTCTTTTGAAAAACACAAGCATACGAAGGACAACATTAACTATAGAAATACACAAAAAATTAATAATTGGCAGAAATCCAATATTTAAACATTAGTTTATTGTAAATAAATTGTTACATCCTACTGTAGTTTTAAAACCATGCCCTTTACATTCAAGTAAGCACATTTATTTTAATTTCAGTCACCCGATGATTTTTACATAAAAATTTAACACAATAACAAAATTATTAATATTTACTTAGACCTTAATGAGTGCCAAGTTCTGCTAGTTTGTTACATGTATTTTGGCTTAATTTTCACAGAATCTCTAATGGTTAAATACTATGTGCACATTTTATAGGTTAAGAAAACATGAAAATGATTCTTGGAAACATTGAAAATACTTGCTCGAGGTTGCACAATGAGAAAGTGTGGCACTGGAATTCAACCTACAGCAGATTGATCCTATCTAATTGCTAAAAATGTGTCACTTAAAGACAAAGGAATAATCTTGTACTTTAATGACTCCCAGACCCCAACAAGGGCTTAAACAAAGAATGTGCTCAAGAAGTAATTATTGAACTAAAAATTGAAATTTCAGAAGTGAGGTTTATATTTAAAACAAAGATGATAATTTTTGCAGAATAATGGGAATGTGGTAAAAGTCATTTCTTCCTTAACTTTTTTCATTCATCTGACTGACTTTGAAGCAAGAAGTAATAGCTTATTCAAATTTAAAATGTGGTTTTATACATAACTCCAACATTACATTTCAGCATAAATTTCTGTATATTATGTAACTTCAGATGTTTAATATTTGGATTGGAGATTATCTGATCTAAAACACATAGAGACCTTAAGATTTGAAGAAAAATGTCAGAAACTATTAATGCCATTTCTGATTTTACAAGAGAGGGGCTTGTGTTTTCCTCAAAGTTACTTACATAGTGTCTGAATCCATGATGACAGGTTGCTTTCTGCATTCTTTTCAATACTTCAGTCAATTCAAGGAGATACAACTTATCAGTGTTGTTTTCATAGAAATCTCAAAGAATCAGGCAATTTAATATAGTTCTACACCTCTAAGCTAGCAATGGAAAACTGGAAAGTGTTCTTTTTATTTTTCTGCCATATGTCTCAACAAGCTACAATCTTAAAGACATTCTAAAACTAAAATATCAAATTTTTATGCTTGTGGATTGACCTGAGGACAATTATTCTTCAAAGGCATACTACTTAAAAATCAGATGCATTTTGTGTAGAAGTCCATGAGGATGGGAAGGGGAAAAGCTAATTACATTTTTTAGAATCCATTCTGTCCACTTTATATAAAATAGTTACATCAAATAATTAATCCACTTTTATTATCCTTGTATTAGCTATTAAAAAGGGACAATGAGGTAAAGGGAACCTTCCAGAATAACACAATTAGGAAATGGGAGATCCAAGATTTAATTCTGAGGTCCATTTATGTTTGGAACAATGATTTTTGCCCCTTACAGTGATTCAGCCTTGAGTGAGCTCTATAAAATCTCAGAACTTCAGGTTCTTTAGCTGTTAGGGAAATGGGTTGGTCAATTGATTTCCAAACACTGTCTTGTAATAAAAAAAATATTTAACATATTAATAAACCAAGTTTGGGAGAATTCTGTTCTATATTTGTTAAATTATTTTCATCTTTTCTTCCACGGGTAATGTTAAATTGAAAATAAGGCCCAAAACTAATTCTAAGACTAATAAAACTTTTGAATATTTTATTTGAAATGAAAATGTCACAAATTTAATTAACAGTTAATAATTTTCCAAATGTTTTATCTTATAATTAAAAGAATTAATCATATCTATAATATTCAGCTAGGTTTTAATGGTTTAAATTTTTAAAAGTTTGATTAATTATCTGCAATGTCAGTTAACAAGTGTGATAATTATATGCCTATTAAGAAACCATATTGTTAAATTTCAGGTTCTCCAAACTGGTCTCTTTTGTTCAAAGTTGGCTCAGAACTCAAACAATTAGACTCATTGAATTAAGATTATTCAACAATATTCAAAAGAATCTCTTTATGATGTCAATTTTTTTTCATGAAAATATTCTACTGATATGGAAAAAAACAACAGCCTATTATGCCTAAAACTCTACATTAAAGCTCTACATGTAGATACCATCAGAGTACCACAAGGTTGCACAGCTCAGTAATAGTCTCAGTTAGTATACAAGTGAGCAGTATTTTATCTCAGCCTTTCTAAGTAGTCTTAATTTAAGAATGTAGGATTCGATCTATGATACCCTGAATTATTGTTCACATTTGATGTGCACATTTTTCTATGAAAAAAACAATAGATTCTTGACAGATTTTTAAATGGATTCATAATCTTAAAAGGATTGCAAACACTGCACTGACTTTTAAGCAAGATACTTTATATTTTCAACCTTGGCTTTGGACTTGAAAGGTGGCTACTGAGTTTAATTTTTCTATTACACTAAGGACAAAACTCAAGATACTAAATCTCAGACAGGGATCTCTGTTCACTGGACTGGATATCTTGGGGTCATTTTCCCAAGATATAAATATTGATTCCTTAGTTTCTTCATCACAGCTGTTTTCACTTCCTGGTTTCTCAAAGTATAGATAAGTGGATTCAAAAACGGGGTGAAGATGGTGTAGAAAACGGAGAGAACTTTGTCCACTAAGAAGTTTGTGAAAGGCCACACGTAGATGAAGATGCAGGGCCCAAAGAACATGAACACAACAATGAAATGTGCAGTGCAGGTGGAAAGAGCCTTAGATGATCCTATGGAAGAGTGGTCCTTGATAGTAACAAGAACAATAATGTATGACGTGAGCAAAAGCAGAAAACTTATAAGAGCAATCACACCACTGGTTGAGATCATGAAAACCCCAAGAACATATATATCTATACAAGCCAGCTGGATGACCAAAGGAATGTCACAGAAGAAACTGTCTATAATATTGGGGCCACAGAAGGGTAAATAGAGAATAAAAGCTAACTGGCTCATTGTATGCAGGAAGCCCACCATCCAAGAAGTTACCACAAGCCAAACACATACTCTTTGGCTTATAATAGTTGAATAATGGAGAGGTTTGCATATGGCAATGTACCTATCAAAAGACATGGAGATCAGCAGCACAATCTCAGTTCCAGTGAAGAGGTGCAATAAGAAGATCTGAGAAATGCAGCCCTTAAAGGAGATGGTCTTGCGTTGTGCAAAGAAGTCCATGATCATCTTTGGAGTGGCAAAAGAGGACAGGCACATGTCAATGAGAGATAAATTGCTGAGTAGGAAGTACATGGGGGAGTGGAGGTGTGGGGTGAACAGGATAGTGAACAAAATCAGGCAGTTACCAAACATGGTCATTAAATAGAAAATGAAAAACATCACATTGAAGAAAATCTGGAGCTCAGGAGAATCAGTAAGTCCAAGTAACACAAATTCAGACACTCTGGAATGGTTGAATCCTTCCATTGATCTATAGACTTTGCTCTATAATGACAAAATAAAACAGAATGATAGAGCTAGAAAATGGGATACTTCTATAAATACATAATAAGGAGTTACGATATTAGTTAATACTTTACTAGAATATTGATTATTGCCTAAAATCCAACAAATAACTATCTCAGTAACATTTTTTTTTTCTTTTTGGAATCACTTACCAATTGCTATGAGATATCAGTTCAAATGGACAACTTCTTGGTTTTGATCAGTATTAGTACATGTTGGTTTATATTCATCACATACCCACACAATAATATTCCTGTTCTGGATGTTGCATAATCTGTATTTAGAGGGGAAGATTACACTGAGTTAGTGTGCTCCATTTAATAAATCAGATACATAAAAAGTTAAATAAAGGTTGAAATAGAAACACTTTCTATAAAACCAAAAGAAAGAAATCATTATATTGAATCCACTATTTTTGAGCACTGGGTTAAACTAACAGTTTAACATAATTTCAGAGGACTCACTTAGTTTATGAAGGTGAGAAATGATTTTCATTTAAGTGAACTCCCAATCTCCTCAGCTACAGAAAAACCCAGTTTCATTCTCATTTCACTTGCTTACTTTCAAAGTGTTTTGTCAGTATTGTTAAGTACTCTTTTTATATATTAATATATAAATGATAAATTAATTTCTAATTCCATAAAACTACTGATGATCAAATGGTATATCTGTAACATACGAGATTTAAAATTTGTCAGAGAAAAATATTCCAGAAATTTTAAGACTGAACTATGGCAAAAGGGTTAAAGATTAAAGTATTTTTTTTCTTAACTTACTCTGTGATCTTGATCATTCCTCAGTAGTCTCTCTGAGACTTGCTTCTTTGTCTGTGAGAATTAAATTAGTTGATTTATATAAAGCAGTAAAAATATTTTCTGGTAAGATTCATGAACTCTCCACATTTTCCAATGAAAATTTAAGAATACTGTTCAAAAATAATCATTTTAACTTATTTTATTAATAATAGTAGTAATAATTGCAGTAAAAAATATTCTAAGTTTTAATTCAGAAATTAGAAATAGACATATGCTTCCAAAACAACTTCATCTTTTTAAAGTTAAATTACTTCTTTTTATATGAAAATTATATGAGTATCTTAATATATTAAATGCAATGAAAATTTCAGACTTATATATTTAACTATTTCTCCTACTTTCCTTTCTTGATAATATAATTATTAATGAAAGCATGGGAACTCTTACTATACCCAGTTTACATATATAATGTATATATTATGTATTCATTGTCAGTGAATAAACAAGGTTGTCAGGTTTTTACCTCCTTTCACTTCAGAAAGGTACCTCCAGTTCCTATTTAGTGGGATAATTCATCTTTATATCTTCAAGTTATATATATATTTGAACTTCTCTCTGTTATTTTTGCTTTATATAATTATAAGTGAATATATTTTTTTTACTAACTAAGGAACACAAACTACAATTGCTTCTTAAGATCCTTAATATTATTTCCAGCTGTTAACCTACCAGCTACTCATCAGGGATCAAAATCACCATATCCTGCAAGATTCACAAGCCTACTGAAATCAACACGGTCCTTAGTAAGCATCAGAAGTGTGGAATATGGATATATATTTTCTCTAGTCTTGGTATAAAGGCCACTCAAAGACAGCAACATTTAGGAGATCAGGGATTAAGCACTACAATCTATTTGCAGAGGGAGTTATTAAAATGTTGAGCAACTTTCCCCAAAGTTTCAAGAACTGTGAGGTGTGTCTTTGCTATTTAAAGTGAAGATGCATATTCATGTTGAGATAATGTGAGTACAGAAACAGCACAACTGGCACTGGCCTAGGAGAAGGAGAACTTTGCAAGGCCATTTAAGAAGCAAAAAAATTGCATCTTTTAAAAAGATATATATTTTATTGATTTTTTTACAGAGAGGAAGGGGGAGGGATAGAAAGCTAGAAACATTGATGAGAGAGAAACATCGACCAGCTGCCTCCTGCACACCCCCTACCGGGGATGTGCCCACAACCAAGGTACATGACCTTGACCAAAATCGAACCTGGGACCTTTCAGTCTGCAGACGGACGCTCTATTCACTGAGCCAAACTGGTTTTGGAAAAAAAATAAAATAAAATAAAAAATTACATCTTTGAATATGGAAATATTGCCACCTTTCTGCCACAGTATTCTATGTCTGAAAGTTGGGAAATTACTCTTCTATGGTAAGGACATTAAAAATTAATACAGGCTAATAGGTAAGATAGCTGCTACCACAGGTGGCTGAAATCTGGGGAAGAGGTTGGGAAAGTTGGAAAGCCCAAAGTAACTGGAAGAAATGAACCAGTTACTATGGAAGTACTCTAGAGGGGTGAAGTAAGAATTAAATTATTCAAATAAATGTAAAGCATTCAGCACAATTCCTGCAGAGAGGAATTGCTGGATAAAATATGGTAGAAGGAATAGCGGAGGTTATTATAATTATTAACATTATTTTTTGAAATGTCAATGAAACATAATCCAGCAATATACTAAATGTGGATTCTCAACCTTAAACTATGACTGAGAATCTTGCCATGTTTTCCTGAAGGCCAAACATTTATCTGTGACTTGCTTTTCAAACCCAACTTTCTTCCCAAATACTTCAGTGATTTGAATTCTTCCCAACTACCATACCTATTCTACATTCCTCACAGGACTAGCGAACGAGCCCAAAAAAATCTTTCCAGCTGACCATATTTCTTTATGATTTTGAAATAAGAATACAAGTGACTGTCTTTAAGATCTTTAAATTTTTTCATCTGCTAAAGAGAGAGTAAGGAAATGACTAAAAAGACACCCAAAAAGAAAGAAAAAAAATAAAGCCAACCAACAAACACAAAGATTTGGTAAATTCTAAAGTATTTGCCCTGGTTTAAAAGAAAAGGTAAGTGTATTACTGGAGTTATCAAGGAAAAGGCAAGAAAATTAACAGAAAAATAATAAAAGTAAAAGATAATTTAGAAAAACAAATAATCCAATTAAAAAATGGGCAAAGAGACACTTCTCCAGAGAAGATATACACAAGGTCAAGAGATATATGAAAAAGTGCTCCAAGTCACTTATCATCCAAGAGATGCAAATAAAAATGACTTTGAGGATTACCTCTCATCTGTCAAGATAGGTACAATAAATAAATAAATAAAACAAAAAGTGCTGACCAGTATGTAAAGAAAAGGGAACTCTAGTACTCTGGTGATGGGGATACAGACTAGTGCAGTCACTGTGGAAAACATTATGGAGTTTCCTTAAAAATATAAAAAATTGAACTGCTGTTTGACTCAGTGATCCCACTTCTAAGAAGATTTAGCCTAAGAATCCCGAATCAGAAAAAATATATTCACCTTTTGTTCATAGCAGCATTATTTACAACTAGTGGTCTGGTGCATGAAATCCATTCACATTAAGAGGAAATTAATTAGAGGAAATTTTTTAATATTGCTATTTGCCCTATCTCTATAGTAGAAGTGTCAGAGATTAAAGAAAATTAGTAAAATGTATATGAAAATTTCCCTCCAGTCAGAGTCTGGGGCAAGCCTTAGGACCCAGAGTCAAGTCCTCGCCCATCAACCTGTGCCTCAAAATTTCCTAACCTGATAATCCTTTTACTACTTGCAAAATCTTACTTTTGATAAACCTGTATGTATTGCTAAAGGGAAAACTCAAGTAAATAAAAAGCAGACCAGCCAGAGGTCAGGGTGCCTCTTCAAGAAAGAGGTCTCTACCTGGCCCCCAATGACTTCTAAATTCCTATTTCTTGTACAGCATTTTCATTTGTTTGTTGGCCCCTTCTTCAGATCCTGAACCCTGCTGAAGGCTAGTGTCAGATGGAGACAAATCAACTCTTGGAATTAGAACAACTCTCCTTCTGCAGATCCTGTTAATATTTCAGCTTTGACTAGGTTAGGTCACAATTTTTTTCATAATGAATCTAGTACCATTACAATGATCCCATTTACTATTAAGATTTCCCAGTAACATGATGATTGTACCAACTTTCAATTTTAATTTATGTCACGGCATTCCCGAAGGAGTCATACTACCGTGTTTCCCTGAAAATAAGACATTCTCCGAAAATAAGACCTACTTACAGGTTTCCTTCTGAGTGAAATATAAGGCATCCCCCTGAAAATAAGCCCCCACCCCCAGGCTAAACATGAGAGATTTGGTCCACTGATTCTGAAAGAAATGGAGTCACAAGAAATTCACCAGGAAATTCAGGAATTGGATTGTTATGATGATGTTCCAGAAGATGATGACATGATTGTCATTGAATAATGAGTAAATTCTTGATACTGTAGGATTCACAGTTTGTCTGGTTTGTGTTGACAACTACCATACTACCGTATTGTATACAGGTAATAAATTTCCTTTATTTTCATTTAACAATAAATGTGTACTGTATTCTTCTTCATGGAAAAATAAGACATCCCCTGAAAATAAGACCTAGCGCATCTTTGGGAGCAAAAATTAATATAAGACACTGTCTTATTTTCGGGGAAACAGGGTACTAAGAAATTTGATGATGAATTTTCCCTTTTGGGCATTATCCTTTGAATTGATGGGATTATTACTCAAATAGGTGTGAAAATCTCCAACAATTTTTAAATTGCCAGTGCGCATCATATGTACTGGCCAGTCAGTCAGTCAGATGGTCAGTTAAATTGTCAGTGCTCATCATATCTACCAGCTGGCCAGTCGGATGAACATATGGTCAGTCACTTAGCCTTTTATATAGATAGATAATGTTTACAGTATTGTAAGCTTAATTGGAAAAAGAGATTTTTCAGATACAATTAAGGCTGCTGATAAACTAAACTTAGAATAGGGAGATCATCCAGCATTATCCTGGCGACTTAATATAAATGCAAGTGTCCTTAATTGTGAAAGAGTGATTTTGTAGATATTAATGAAATAGTTCTAAAACTTATAAAGGAAGACAATAACCTTGGAATAGCC